TATGCCTCTTTATTTTATTTTTTTTTAAGATTGTATTTATTTCAGAGAGAGAGTGTGCATGAGCAGAGTGGAGGGGCAGAGGGAGCTGCAGACTCCCCGCTGCGCAGGGAGTTTGCAGAGCTCAATCCCAGCACTCCATGGTCGTGAGCCAAAGGCAGATGCTTAACTGACTGAACCACCGAGGCACCCCAGTATCCCCCCACTAAAGTTAGAAAAACAAGCTGGCAACCATGGCTGCGTATTAGAAACACCTGGGAGATTAGAAAACCCATGACCCAGCAGCACCCCAGACCAAAATTATATCAGAGGATGGGATCCAGACATCAACAGTGTTTGGTTTTATTTTTGTTTTTCCTAAAGATATATTTATTTATGAGAGAGAGAGAGGAGCAGGAATAGGGAGAGGGGCAGAGGGAAAGAATCTGAAGCAGACTCCCCGCTGAGCACAGAGCCCTGGGCAGGGCTCAGTCTCCTGAACCTGAGATTTTGACCTGAGCTGAAACCAAGAGCTGGAGGCTTAAAGGACTGAGCCACCCAGGTGCCCCCAGGCATCAGTAGTTTTAAAGCTCCTCAGGTGATGGCATTATGCAGGCAGGGTCAAGAGCTCTGCCACAGAGCATTTAAAGTGTAGGCTTAGGGACGCCTGGGTGGCTCAGTGGTTGAGCATGTGATCCTGGTGACCCAGGATCCAGTCCCATACTGGGCTCCCTGCACGGAGCCTGCTTCTCCCTCTGCCTATGTCTCTCATGAATAAACAAATATAATCTTAAATAAATAAATAAATAAATAAATAAATAAATAAATAAATAAATAAATAAAGTGTAAGCTTACCCTTGAGATCGCTGCCAGAGAAAGGCAAGGATGTGTCATCATCTTCACCTCCTCGGGTCATGGCTGGAGCTCCCCTTTGCTCTGGGCAACCACCCACAATGCTGGCTCCTTTGGAGGCACTACAGAGCAGTGGTTAGCAGCTCTATTTTGGAGTCAGGTGAACCCGGATTCAAATCCTGATTCTCATGCTTATTAGCTGGGGGCCTCAGAAAATTTACCTAATTTCTCTTCCTTATTCCCTCTTCTGTAGAATGGAGCCGAGATAGTATCTACCTCCTAAAGTCATGGTGAGGGTTGAGTTAAATGAGAGAAAGCAGATCTAGTTCTCAGCACGGCACCAGCCCCACGGAAGCGCTCAGCACCAGTTAGTTGCTGTTACTAACATTGATGCTAAAAGTTCTGGATATTTGGAAGGAGCCACTGCTAAGCCACATTGACCCTTTGTGAGTGACTCCTGTTTAACCCATTCTGGCTTAACCCAGGCAGAAGAGAAGCCTGTAGAAGGCTGTGCCCAAAACTAAGCCGGGAATGGGGCCAGTTCCAGGGATGTCGGCTGGAAATTCTCAAGTGACACAGTCCTTAGAGCTTCGTGCACTGTTAGATTTGGGGTTAGGATTTCCAGGCCACAATCTGAGCTGGGGTTGTTTGCCCCTTCGTGGGAGGAGGGGCCTTGTAACTACCACTCCCAACATGACCACTGGGAAGAGGCTAGTTCTCCAGAGAAACCGGAGGTTGTCACCTAAAAGAAAGAGGAGGTTGGTCGGATGTCTACCCCAGCCCACTTGTATTTTGAACCCAATGGCCAGACTACACATGCATTATTACATTTTTAAATGGGAGCTTTTTATTTCTTTGAGTGTCTTTTTTCTATTTATTTATTCATGAGAGACAGGGAGAGAGAGAGGTAGAGACACAGGCAGAGGGAGAAGCAGGCTCCATGAAGGGAACCTGATTTGGGACTCGATCCCAGGACCCCAGGATTACAACCTGAACCAAAGATGTTCAACCACTGAGCCACCCAGATGTCCCTCTTTGAGTGTTTTTTTTTTTTTAATAACAACTTTATTGAGATGGGAGTTCCTGGTCAGATTCTAGAAGGCCCGACTGAGGGCCTGGGAGGTGCTGATGGACCAGCGGGGGCCTGAGGCAAGGACAAAGGGGCTGCCCCATCTGAGACTTCTTGGTGACTGTGGGGATCGGTGCCTAGCACAATGTGGGGCATATTCAAAAAACATCAGTAGGGGTGGTGTTGGTTTACGGGAGAGCCCAAGCCAGGAAGTTCCAAAGAGCCCCACAGCACCAGAGGAAGAGCATGAGGTGTGGATGAAGCATGACAATCACAGGCGCAGTCCAATCTCCTGAAGCATTACGCTAGTCAGGGTCCTTTCAGGGAAGCAGAAACCTCACTGGGTGTTTCAAACAGGGAATTGAATCCAGGGAATTGGTCACCCAGGGTGTGGGAATGAGGAGCCAAGTGACGTTCATTTGAGACGTTCAGAGTTTCTCATGGCAGGAGGCAGGAGGCCCTTACTAACTGTGCAGCTGGAAGGACAAAGCATTGGCAGCTAGATGGACCCCGAACACCTAAATTAGCTTTATTTTCTAGAAATGACAAGATGTAGGTAAATTCTTCTGCAAGTATCTGCCTGGCCCTCCCTTATCTCTACCAGGTCTCTGCTTCTCAGCAAGCAAGGCCTTTTCTGGCCATCCTGTTTGGGTCTGCACCTCCCCTCTTGGCGCTCCCCACCCTTGCCTTTGCTGTGTCTTCCTCCAAAGCCGTCATCGGACACAGTTGGTATCTGACCTTCTTACCGTCATCTGACATACTTGGTATTTTCTTCCTTGCCCACCTTCTCTCCCCATCCCCACCTCAAGCTTGATTTAAAATCCCATAAAGGCAGAAATCTTGGCCTGTTTTCCTCCCGCCAAAGGCCAGCCAGTGCAGAGTTGGTATTAAATCACTGTTACGGTTACAGCCTGTCATACTACCATACTCACTCCCCTGCCCACCCCACTTCTAACTTCTCTGGCACTCTGTTTTCTGTTCCAGAAAATAAGATAATTGAGGTCCGTGACCTGCAAGGGCCTTTCCACTGAGGCGCTCCTTGGCGGTGGGTTCTTCCTACACAAACGGATTCCCCGGGAGTTTCTATTCCGTCCACGCGGGGGCGGCAGAGGCCAGCACATCCCTGAGAGCTGCACTCCCTGGAGGCCCTTCCTGGGTCTCAGAGAGGAGTCAGGTCTTGGCTTTATTTGGGTCCCAACCTAGTTCCAGGGAGAATGAAGTCATGAGTCGGAAAATTAAACGAAGCGTGGCAATTAGGGATAAAAAGTGAGGAGAGACCATCCGAGGCAATCAGAGATGCTGGAGATAAGCTAACTACAGTAACTGAGCCCTGACTTTAGCTCCAACTTTCTAGACATCTGGGCAGAACAACAATCAGGATGAGATGAGTGGGGCACGCTCTTCAAATGCTAAATGTAAGGAGGGAAGCAGCCAAAATCCGGTCATCGAGACATATGTTAATGAAATATTGCTAAAAATCTATATTAAAGACAACAAAAATCCACAATGAACAAAATGTCAAACATTTAAAATTACATGCAACATGTACTTAGAAGCAGTTTTCTTTCTGTGTGGCCTCGGTTCCAAAAATGGCCCTGCACAATAAAGTTGAATCTGGTCCTTAAGGTTTGAAATTTTTTTGCATTGATTTTGATCTTAAAAATATTGTGTTAAAAAATATATTGTTAACACTTCTTAATTACAGCGTTCTTGGTGTCCCTTTTAATTTTCCAACATGAATGTCACTTTGCCTCCCCCTAATTCCAGCCTGAAGAGTCTCACTGGAGAGGCTGAGGATCACCCAAGAGTTCCCCTGGCCGACAACTCTTTGCTCCCGGTGTGAACCTGACAGACATGCAACACACAGCCTTGCCTCTTGGCTGGCACACTGTGGCCCTTCCCCTGCAGTCTGGCACCAGCCTCCCCATCCTTCTCAATACAGTGCTCCCAGGAGCAGTATCTACTCATCAGAACCAGCAGGTATGACAAAACCTTATAAATGAAGACCTGCGAAATTCTAATAGGGACAACTGACACAAGATGGTAGAGATAAGACAGAAGGAAAGTTCCAGGTCCAAATCTCATTCTAGGCTGACAGATAAAGGTACAGAGTTTGATCAGAGCTGTCAGTTGAAAGAGCAAGGGCTGTCAGATAGAACTTTCTGCAAAGGAAATGTTCTACATTTGAATGGCACGATATCATAACCGCTAATCGCATGTGGCTCTTAAGCCACGTGATATGTGGCTAATGCAACCAAGGAATCTATTTAATTGTGATTATATTTAAATTTAAATGGGTGAAGGGCTACTGTATTACAGTCACTTCTATATCAGCAAGTCTCAAATTTAACTTGCACTAGAATCAACAGCAGGAGTTGTCAAAGTCCTGAGGCTGAGCCCATCTGAGTTGGGGATTCAGGAAGTCTGGCATGGGGCTGATAGCTGACATTTCTAACAAGTCCCCAGGTAACGGTGAGGCTTCTGCTCTGGGGACACTTTGAGAACCACTAAGCTAAACAGTATTCTGACTCCGAACAATTGTTAGATATTGAAATCACCTTATGTGTAGGTGTTGGCTTTCTTGAAGCAAAATGGCAGCCTAGACTTTGAAGACAGATAGATATGGACTCAAATCCCTGCTCCTCCCTTAATTAGCTGTATGATCTTTGTTTCACGTTCAACTTCTATATACAGCTGGCCCTTGAACAATGCAGGGGATTAGGGGCACCAACAAATATCCCCCACACCCCTACAGAGTCGGAAGTCTGGGTATAACTTTTGACCTCCCCAAAACTTAACTACTAGTAGCCTACTGTTGACCAGAAGCCTTCCTGATAACATAGTCAATTAACACGTATTTTGTAAATTATATGCATTATATATTTTTACAACAAAGCGGGATCCCTGGTGGCTCAGCGGTTTGGTGCCTGCCTTTGGCCAGGGGCATGGTCCTGGAATCCCGGGATTGAGTTCCGCATTCCAGCTCCCTGCATGGAACCTGCTTCTCCCTCTGCCTGTGTCTCTGCCTCTCTCTCTCTGTGTGTGTGTGTGTGTGTGTCTCTCATGAATAAATAAATAAAACCTTTAAAAAAAAAAAACAAAGTAAGCTAGAAAAAAATTTTATTAAGAAAACCATAAGAGAAAATACATTTACAGTACTGTATTTATAAAAAAAAAATCCACATGTAAGTGGGCCTTAGCAGTTCAAATCTGTGTTGGTCAAGAGTCAACTGTAATATTAGTCAACATTCAACTGTTCCCTCTCTGCTCCATCCACAAAATGGAAATAATAGTACACACCAAATAGGGTAATTACAAAGATTAAATGAGATAAGGTATATATGCCATTCAGTATAAGTTGTTAAGATCATGTCCTGCTCAGAAAATGTATTAACTGAGATTATATATGTGAACATGTCATTTGTAGCACAAGAAATATGTATTTCCACAAAACAGTTGTGTCAAAATTACCCAGTGCCAGTGCATCAGTTTTCTATTGCTACATATAACAGATTACCCCAAAATGTAGCAATTTCAAACAACAAATACTTATCATCTCACAGTTTCTTTGGGTCAGACGTGTGGGCATGGCTTAGCTGGGCACCTCTAGTTCAACATCTCTCAGGAGGGTGCAGTAAAGCTGCCAGGGCTGCAGTCTCATCTGAAGGGTCAACTGGAAGGCTAAGAAATCCATTTCTTTTGTTTTGTTGTTTGTAAGACATATGTACATTTTGGGGTGCCTGGGTGGCTCAGTCCATTGAGCATCTGACTCTTGATTTTGGCTCAGGTCGTGATCTCAGGGCCGTGGGATCGAGCCCTGTGTCAGGCTCTGCGCTCAGCAGGGAGTCTGCCTCTCTCTCTCTCTCCCCCTCTCCTTTTGCCCCTCCCCCCACTCACACATGTGCTCTCTCTCTCTAAAATGGTCTTTAAAAATTTTTTAAATAAAAATGGTTAACTAGCAAAATGTACATATATCTTTTTTTTAAAGATTTATTTGGAGGGGAGGGGCAGAGGGAGAGGGAAGGGAGAGAGAGTCTTAAGCAGACTCCCTGCTGAGTACAGAGCCTGTCTCAAGGGGCTCAATCCCTGGACCCTGAGATCACGACCTGAGCCGAAACCAAGAGTCAGATGTTTAACCGACTGAGCTACCCAGGCACCCCTAGTTTAACCATTTTTTTAAAGATTTATTTATTTTAGAGAGAGAGAGAGCACACAGAGGGGAAGGGCAGAGGGAGAGGGAGAGAGAGTCTTAATCAGACTCCCTACTGAGCACAGAGCCCAATATGGGGCTAGGTCTCACAACCCTGAGATTACAACCTGGGCTGAACCCAAGAGTTGGACACTTAACCAACTGCACTGCCCAGGCATCCTTAATCCTTTTTAAACGTATGGTTCTGTGTCATTAAGTACATTAAGGTACATTGTGTCATTAAGCACATTAAGTGCATTAAGTTCATTCACATTGTTTGCAACCATCACCACCATCCATCTTCAGAAATTTTTCCTTTTCTCCAGCTGAAACTCTGTACCCATTTGATACTAGCTCCCCATTCCCCACCTCACCCCCAAGCTTCTGGCAACTATCATACTACTCTGTTTCTATGAATTTGACTCTTCTATGTTCTTCATATAAGTGGTATCATACAACATTTGTCCTTCGGTGACTTGCTTATTTCACTAAACAAAATGCCCTCGAGAGTCCTCCATGCTATAACATGTGTCAGGATTTCCTTGCTATAGTATTCCATTGTATGTATATACCACGTTTGCTTATTCATTGCTTCTACCTTCTGGGTCTGATCCCACCCACTGCAGCCCTGTCAACACTGGCCCCTCAGTGGACGCACCTCATCCTAGGCTCAGTCCTGGGGAAGCCACGCCTGCTCGAGATAAGCCTGACTAGCCTGAGGATCTGGCCAGAGCTCCCCCACTTTCAAGGACTATCCTGATTCTGGTCCTGGCTACTTATCTCTTCATCCAGGCTCTACTGCTCTTCTGTGTTTCAGGCTGGGATACGTTCTTGGAGGTTAGAGTCACTTCCCATAAATGATCCCAGCAGGTAATAGGATGCTTTGAACCAAAACATGGACCCCTCCCATTTACTTGCTATGTTATACCACCAGGATCTTCCCTTCCATACCCTATATTTGACCATTTAATACCCAATATTACATTAACTACTTCAGCATTTCAAAAATTATAACCTAGCTGCCTCTTTTAAACAATTATAATTTCCATTCTGCAGATGAGAAAACGGATTCAGAAAGGTTAAGGGAACTGCCCAAGATCACACAGCTAGAAGAGGGCAGTGACAGAAGAACTCCGTATAGTTACCACTGAGTTTCCAGGATGTCATAGGTGGTTTCTGGGTTTTTTTCAGACTGAGAGCCAAGTGGGATAACCAGAGTTTAGAAGGAATCATTCGTCTGTTCTGCTCTGTAGTCACCCAACATGACTCACCTCCCAATACACAGAACCACAGTCCACTGCCTAGGACAGCCTAAGCACAGGGCATGAAATGCCTGGGACCCTACAGTCCTGTGTCACCAACTGGCCCCACCTCTCTTGCCTCCGGATAAACCAGAGGAAGACATCTGACCCAAGTGAAGCTACTAAGGTGCCTCTTTTAGGTGTTTGGAACTGGGACATTAAAAAGCAAAAGGACTCAGATGGTAGAGCTGTAAGATCATGTAGAGAGGGGGCTGCAGTTGGTGGCCTGATGAGTCCGTTACATGGGAAGCAAGGATGCCTCTTTAGAGGTAGGATAGTGGCATACTGGTTGCCCAAACTGGGGAAGTAGGCTGCCTGGTGTGAATCATGGATCCCACTTATTAGCTGCAGGATTTGAGGGTAAGTTGCCCAACCTTTAGGCGACCCATTTTTCTCATCTGTAAAATGGAGAAGCGAATAGTACTTGTTGCTACAATGAAACAAGGGAACACACACCAGGTTAGCAGCAGCACAGGTGCACAGTGCACACACTGGCAACTGCCCACTGGCATTATTCCAGAAGTGAGAAGGCACCGCAGCCTGGGAAACCCACAGAAGGAGCAGCTCCTCATGACTTTCCAGTTCCCAGGCGGTTGCCTCACACTAAAATACTTTTAAGTTTAAAAATTATGTGCCACATTTATTTGGAAATTCTATTCTTTTTATTGCAAATTTCTGGTAAAGGAAAGAACGTGGAAGCTGATCCTCTTTTAAACTTTGGTCATAAGAGTACTCTGTAGCTCAGTGGCTTACAACCTCAGCAGCCTCTGACATCCCCCTGGGGCCTCTGGTACCTACTGATGCCTGTCCTGTGTCCCACCTCCCAGAGTTTCTGGCTTCGTTGGTCAAGGGGACAGCCTGGGCACTGGTAGCTTTCTGAACTCCCCAGGTGACTCCAACATGTTGCCAGAGTGGAGAACCCCTGCTGGAGCTCATGACAGCAGGTTGGCAGCATCAGAAGCACCTGAGCAATTTCAGTGGACAGCCAACCGCCACCTGTTCCTGTCACCCCCTGACCCGAGTCCAGCTGTCCTGCTCTCCCCAGGAGTCCCATATGCTGGTTCTTCCTCCTCACTAGACCACAGAGAAGGACATTGGAGGGGGCATAACTCTCTGTGCTGTGGCTTGTGCTTCAACAGGGAAAACTGGGTTAAATGCGGTTTACTCCACCATAAAAAAAAATTCACTTTCTGATTGGAAAAGAGCATGAACCTTTGTTTTTTCATTGTTAAGTGGAAATAGTTTTCCTATATAGAGATGCAAAGATTTATGACAAAATAAGGAAATATATGTTGGATGACACATTCCTTATATGATTTCTCAGGTCCAAATTAAAAAAAAATGTGTCCAGCCATTGAAGGTAAAATATTATATACTTTAGCAGCATATTTTAAATGGGTAAACAGTAATAGCCAGTTATATATCTCATTTATGATTTATCCTAAAAATAGAAAATGCTTTAATTTTCCTGAGTCCTTGGCAAACAAAAAACAATTTTTTTTAAATTTTTAAAGAATTGTTTTCCTTTTCTTGGGCACCCTCACAGTTTAGAACAGTGTGTCTCACCATTGGTTTGTACATACACAGGTGAACAATTTCACTGGTGCCAATTTTCAATGATTAATCAAATATGGCGATTGAAAAGAAAACACCCATCATCTACAAAGCTGCTCAAAATGAAAGTTTCTTGACAATGTTATAAATGCAATATCAATTTGATTCTCTGTCCATACAAAAGTATGAATTTCTATTTCATTAATAATACTGAATGATCAATGTCTTAACAGTGATAAAATTTTTAGAACATTTAAAAATTACATAGGATCCCATTTTTACATCATAATTCTGATGTATTATCATGCCTTCTATTTTGTCTGTAAAACTTTTATAGGATACAGTGCATTGACGTGGTAAAACCAAGGCACAAGAATACAGTTACAATAAGTGTATATAAACCTTAGTTAGCACTTTGTGCCAATTTTGGAAACATTTAGAGAAGAGATCATAAAGCCTGAAAAATTCTCACATCCTATTATGATTAACAAACAATTAATTGTGCAATAAACAAACTATTAACCACCATTCCATTATTAAATATATGGCTATCACTATACAGGCTGTGGATAATTGAAAAAAGTTTTCAATATTAAAACCTGGTATAACTAGGTGGTTGATGTAGACATTGTGCCTTGCATTATCTAGATAATTGTCTTAAGTTTCCATTTTAATTTGCAATGTCTATGGCAGTTTTATCAATTTTGAAGCTATTTTCATTACATAAATGGTATGTGTGTGTGTGGGGGGGTGGTTTTCCAAAAGTTAAATCCCTTCTCCCTACAAAAGACAGAAGATTTACAAGAAGATAACCATATAAGAAATGCACAGATTAACAGTAATAAAATCCAAATATGGACTAAAAGGTTGAATTCTAATCTACCAGGACATTCTCTTAATTTAGGGTGAGGAGCAACACATTCCTGTGACAATTCATTTGTTTCTTAATTAAAAAAAAATCACCATGACATTTTTCAAAATAGTAAAGTCTTGGCTAGAGCGTCAAGCATTGAAGGAAAGTTGTTAAGTCTTTTCATTCATAAAATGAAGGGAATAGAAGCCTTTCCCAATCTAGGGGCAGGGAGGATATTCCATTGAATTTGGAGAAATGGAATAGAGTGGTAAAAATTGTACTTCATACTTTTAAAGAAAGTGTTTTCGAGACTCAAGGTAAACATTTAGACCCATGAAAAAACATTGCTTGGCACATGCACGCCATGAGTAGAACAATCCTGAATGCGGTGACAGCCTGGCTACAGAGGTATCCAGCTCTAGCCCCACTGGCAAAACCCCTTCTGAGGTCCTGGTCCTGGCTCCCTTCACAGGGGAGCTTCTGGCTTCTGCATCTGCTGGATTTGCTTCAGTAGCTGGTCCTTGTCCAACTTCATCTTGGCTTCAAGAACTTGCCTGAGGGATCCTATGCTTTCATAGATGGCTGTAAACCCTTTAGGAAGAGGTAAATTTCACCAGAGTTAATATGAAAAAACAAATCAAAACAAAACAAAACAAAAAAAAACAATGCTGTGTCAAATTCTACTGCACAGAATAATAGTTGACTTGGGCGAAGGTTACCACTAGATGCTGAAACTTCACTGGAGTAAAAGTTTGAGAGGGAACAGGATAGTTAACACAGTTTTGGATTATCTCCCTGCAGATTACTATTTGATTACAAAGGGGGAAGGGAACTCTTACAGTGGGGAAATCTGGCAGCTACCACTTTAACCAAGGGGTCAAAGCCAATGGCACCAATACCTGGAAACCAACATCACATACCCCTGAGAAAGGATCCCCGATAAGTGAGGGACATGCCGCTTCTGTGGCATTTCTGTCCAAAATGCACAACCTGAATCTAGTAAGAGGAAGCAGACAGACACAAACTGACACAACATCCCACAGAACTCTGGCCTATGTTCTTTAATGATGGAACAGCACCAAGGAACTGATCCATATTAAAAGACACTAAATAGGGACGCCTGGGTGACTTAGCAGTTGAGCATGTACCTTCTGCTCAGGGCGTGATCCCCCGGGGCTCTGGAATCAAGTCCTACATCAGGCTCTCCACAGGGAGACACACACAGAGAGGCAGAGACACAGGAAGAGGGAGAAGCAGGCTCCCTGTGGAGAGCCCGATACAGGACTCGATCCCGGACCTGGGATCACACCCTGAGCTGAAGGCAGACCTCAACCACTGAGCCACCCAGGCATCCCTAATAAAAATCTTAAAAAAAAAAAAAAGATACTAAATAAAGAAACATGATAACTAACTATGCTGTATGGTTTGGGGATAGAACCTAGACCAGGAAAGGTCTGCATTAAGGAAACAGTAGTGAAAGTTGAAAATTGAGTACTAAAAAAATATTCCTCAATATTGCACTGGACTATAGTTATTTAAGAGAATCTCACTGTCCCTAGGGTATATAGATTGAAATAATAAGGGAGTAAAAAAGCATCATGACTTCAACTTTCTGTCAAATGATTTAGGAAAATAAATTATATTTACACACACATACACTCCTATCACACAATGAGATTAAGCAAATTTCCAAAATGTTAACAATTGGTTAATCTCTATGAAAGATGTATAGAGTTTCTGGACTGTTATACTTTTTCTAAATTTAAAATATTTTCAAGATAAAAAGCAAAACAAAAGGAAAAAATTCCTGGGACGCCTGGGTGGCTCAGTGGTTGAGCGTCTGCCTTTGGCCCAGGACATGATCCTGAGTCATGGGATCGAGTCCCACATCAGGTTCCCTGCATGGAGCCTGCTTCTCCCTCTGCCTCTGTCTCTGCCTCTCTCTCTCTCTCTCTCTCTCTCTCTCCCTCTCTCTGTCTCTCACTAATAAATAAATAAAATCTTTAAAAAAAAAAAAGGAAAAAATTCTCCATCAAAAGAGCATTTCATATTATTCTGTATTTCTATGGGTTTTATTTTTTTTAAGATTTTATTTATTTATTCATGAGAGACACACACATAGAGAGAGGCAGAGACACAGACAGAGGGAGAAGCAGGCTCCACGCAAGGAGTCTGATGTGGGACTCGATCCTGGGATTCCGAGATCACGCCCTGAGCCAAAGGCAAACGCTCAACCGCTGAGCCACCCGGGCAACCCCTCTATGGGTTTTTAAGTTTAAACGGTCTTGTCTGCACTAGCAAGTTTAGAATTCTCTCTCAGGGGTGCCTGGGTAGCTCAGTTGGTTCAATGTCCAACTCTGCATTTCGGCTCAGGACATGATCTCAAGGTCATGGGATCAAGCTGAGTCGGGCTCCGTGCTCAGGACAGAGTCTGCTCCAGATTTCCTCCCTCTGCCCCTCCCACTCACTCTCTTTCTCTCTCTAAAAGTAAACAAATCTTTAGAGGAAAAAAAGAATTTTCTCTCAGAAAAGTTTCCTGACAATTCATGTCATCTAAGTAATAAATATTATTTATGAAAAATAATGTTCTTATTGAATAGAAAGATACAACATATAAAAGAATAGATGACAAGTCATCACATATGGCATGAGCTTTCACTTGAAAAAGCACATATAAATCATATATGTATAAAATGATATATATAAAGATGACCTCTGGGTGAGAGGAGTTATGAGTATTTTAAAAAATATTTTGTGCTTTCTTATTTTCCATTAATAAATATATTGGTTTTAGAAAGAGAAAAAGTAAATATTTTTATTTTTAAGAGGCTCATACGCCCTTCTTTTGAGGGACTTAATATTAACCACCTCAATGGCACGTTGAATAGGATGGGAACAAACCCACCCAGGGAATTAAATGATACAGAGTTAAACACTGATGAAATATTCACATACCATATTCTAACAGCCCCAAGAAAAAAAGAAAGAAAATTCATTTTTATCTTCCGAAGTTCTTCAATGCGTAAATTTAATCGTGACTTCATAGTGTCTATGTAAATAAAATAAAAAACTTTTTGGTGGTAACAACAGAACTTTTCTTGGGATAACTGACTACTCTTATTTCCACGTGGCCAAAGTAGAATGATTTTGCAGAAGAAAATGATGGAATTCTAGAACTGGAGGGAGCTAGGAGATAAGGTGGTCCCCCTCATCACACTTGAAGACTGTCTTGTCTTTCCCGACCATAACCAACCAGCCTCCACTTGAAATAAGCCTTCAGGAGCCCCTCAAAGATAGAGGTTCATTTCTGAGACCTGCCAATCATGGCTATGAACAGAAACGAACCCACAGGTGGCACCAGAGAAAGTGCACATCCCGTGCAAGCTGAGCAGTTTTCATCTGTGTGCCTGTCCCTTGGGTGGCTTTCTGTGTACTTGGAATTGAAATGACACTTCAGTTCACTACAGCACAGCTACTTAGAAAATCACCTAAGGACATTTCTCCGTGATTCTCATCAGCCAGGCTCACAGGGAGTGGCAGGGGGTGGGCTCATCAACTGGTTTTCGGATCACACTGAAAATGACCCACGAGGGTGGTTCGCTTTGTGGCCTACCAGCATCAACTTCTGCCTTCATCTCCTTCATATCCTCATTCATCTGTAACTCCAGCTTGCTGATGCGCCCATGCACCCTCTCCTCTTCTTGTTTTGTTCTCTGCACTTCCATGTTCTTCTTCTGACTCTCTTCTATTTTGTCCAGCCTGGCTGACATCTGGCTGAGCTTCTTCTCCATGTCCCTTTCACTGGCTCCCTGAGATTGGTGAGAAGAATTGTACCTGGTTACTCCAAAAGGAAAGTCTGTCCTGCACCCGCATCAGTCATCTTATCATTTAACAACCATCTGCAGGGGACAGAACCGCGAAGGTGGCTTGTTGCTCGCTCTTAACATCCACTCTCCCGTTTCTTTAACAGACCTCCGATTTCCAGGAGGGGGTAAGCTCACCCAGAGTTAAGACTACATTTTCGGCTGTCTCCTAAGTTTAGTGTGGCCATAAAGATGAAGTTCTGGCCAATGAGATGTAAGTAGAAGGGTATGTGGCTTCTCTGCTAGGAGAAGCTAAAAAGGTATCTGAGGCATATCCTCACCCCTTGTGTCTTCCTTCTGTTCCTGGAATTCAGACGTAATGACTGGAGCGCTAGTGGTCATCCTGAACTATGAGAACAAGGATCACTCTAGAATTGGCAGGGAATTAAGCCAGAAGAATCTTGGGTTGCTGAGGACTGAGAAGTTACCACATCAGCCCTGCATTCCCTACCCCCCCCCCGAAAGCTTTTATGTGAAAGAGAAATAAGATGCTATCTAATGAAAGCTACTATTATCTTGGGGTTTCCTATCACTTATTCACCAATCCACAGAGAAAATAAACAGTGATCCAAAGACACAGAAGCCTACAAATGGAGTAGTATGAATCTAAGTAAATCAATCAGATCTGATAATATATGAAAGAACACTTAAATATTTGAAACATTAAATATTGTCTTTCCTTTCCTTTTCTTTCCAACATGCCTGGTTTTTATGGGAATCTGCATCTACAGGTGAGCTTTGGAGGACAAGACTATGAACACTGAGCTGTAAGTGGGCTATTGCATGATCTAGCTCTCTCAATGTTGTACAGTGCAGTCTGCATTGAGAGCTGCTCCGCACTGCGACACAGCAGAATCAGAGATGCAAACTGCACCAGATACTTCTGCTCCATCAAAGCCCAATAGGAGGAAGCAGTGAAAAGAGAAGAGAGAGGAAGATGGTCAGGCTAAATTACCAAACCAAAAAAAAAAATATGTATACATATTTGCTTGCCAAATACCAATTTGAGAATCTACTGGTTCAGAATACTCTACATGCAAGGCTTTCTTGATGGCTTTTGAACAGTGCTGCAAACCGTAGTCCCCTGGGAGAGGGGGGTAAAAAGAGAAGGAAAACAGAGAAAAAAAAAACGGTAGATGTTGACGTGCTGCCCCGTGACTCCACATCCTGTGGTTCTAGCGTAGCAGAGGGGCCCAGCGGGAAGAACCTAGTCCACACTGTGTATTCCAGATGATGAAATTCAACCAAACTGGGATGACATTTGTAGTTAGTTTTATTTAGAAATGCAAGCGGACAATTTGGTTCATGAAGGCCTTGCTTTAAATGCTTCTTAGCTGAAAGTGCTGAAATTTTCTGCTTAGCCTTTTGTTAACTAAAAGAAGTCCAAGTGCTCTCCTTATAAACGAATACAGAGAAAGGAGGGATTCTAAGGCAAGAAACAGCTGAACAGCTTAAGGTGGTGCTAAATGAATCAATGCTGAGTTACTAGGATTATTCATAAACATCGCAGCCGCACTCCCTACCCCCCACCCCCGCCTCCCCCGAACACCTTCACTGGAACACACTATACATCGATACCTACACTGTTTTCCTTCACAACCAAGGAAAGCTGATCAATTTTCTGTAAGAGTTCTTTCTCTATCCGTTCTTGTTCCTGTTGCAACCAATTCCGTGCAGATAAAATCTCATTACTGAGTTCCTCAATCGTCCCTTTAAATCTAAAATCAGAAAATTAGCAAGTTAGATGTAAAACAACTATAAAGTTATATCACACAACGTCAGTCTCCAGCTATCAAATTTCTCATAAACGTGTCATCATGAACCTTGGCTTCCTTAGAATTACAAGCTTATCTTCCCTTAGAATTGCCCTTAGCACTAAACTGGGGGTGGGGCTAGGGGGCAGGGAAGGAGTATACAATGGACAGGCACCTGATGACACTTCCTACCAGTGAAGAGCCGATGGGGTGGGTGTTGAGGTGTTAACGGTGACACATGGCCACCCAGGTGCTCATCTTTGCCTTCACAGGGTCCCCAGTGCTCCTACCTCAGAGAACACCCTTCTAGCCTCCTCCCTTTCCCCAGGCTCTTCCTCATTTTCCCTGTTATCTCCCAGGCCCGGAGCCTGGCTACCTTTCTCTTGAATGTTATCAAAATTGCTCTTGCCCCATGCAGATATTTCCTAAATTAAACCAAAAAGAAAATTGAAAGAAAACCACCCTCCATTCCGCCGGTCCTCACCCTTTCCAAATACCTTGAAATAACACTCCACACTGCTACTTCCCCTTCATTACTTTCATATTAATTTTATTATGAAATGGAATAAAAGTAGGAAAGAACATATGACTTAAACAATAATAGTAATAATAAAATGGACACTGTGGTATAAGATCCTAATTATCTGCTATATCTGTTTTTCTCTTCTTTCCTATTAAGAAATCCTCAGATGTGAGCTGTGTCCATGGCTGGCTGACCAGAGACTACATCCCCAGCCTCTCTTGCAGGTAGGTGTGGCCATATGACTAACTCAGGCAATGGGACACATGCAAGAGTAGCAGGTACAACTTCCTGGGTCATGCTACTATAAAAGAAGCTTCTGGGCCTTACCTGGGCTGGAAGCCACGCAAGCCTGCAGCTCCACCCAACTGTGGAGCTCAGCCTGCAGCTCCTGCCTGACCAGGAAGACTGTCCACAGAGCACCACAACTCTAATGCATTCACTTATTCTGACAGTATTTTGATATAGTCTTTAGAGTTTCTCTCTATAAGATCATAACATCTGTAAACGGATAATTTTCCTTCTCTTTTTCAGATTTGGATGCCTTTTATTCCTTTTTTTTTTTTTTTTTGCCTAAGTGCCCTGGCTAGGACCTCCAGTACTATGTTCAATAGAAGTGGGGAGAATGAGCACCCTCCACCTTGTTCCTGATTTTAGAGAAGCTTTCAGCTTTTCACTGATGAGTAGATATTATCTGTGGGCTTGTCATATATGGCCTGTATTATGTCAAAATACATTCTTCCTATACCCAACTTGTTGGGAGTCTTAATCCCAAAAAGGATATCAATTTTGTCAAATGCTTTTTCCACATTGTTGAGATAATCATATGATTTTTTAAATCATTCATTTTGTTAATGTGGTGTCTCACATTTATTGATTTGCATATATTGAACCATCCTTGCATCCCAAGGATAAATCCCATTTGATCATGGTGTATGATCCTTTTAATTTGCTGTTGAATTTGGTTTGCTAGCATTTTGTGGAGAATGTTTACATCTATGTTCATCTTTGGCCTGTCTTTGGTATCAGGGTAATGCTGGATTTGTAAAATGAATTTGGAAGTGTTTCCTCCTCTTTAATTTTTTAGAAGAGTTTGAGAATGATTGGCATTAATTCTCCTTTAAATTTTGGTGGTATTCATCCATGAAGCCATTTAGTCCTGGGCTTTTCTTTGTTGGGAGGTTTTTGATTAGTGATTCAATCTCCTCACTTGTTATTGGTCTATTCACATTTTCTGTTTCTTCCTGATTCTGTCTTGATAGATTCTATATTTCCAGGAATTTATCCATTCCTTCTAGTTATTCAATTTGTTGGCATATGACTCTTCATAGTAGTCTCTTACGCTCCTTTGAATTTCTCTGGTATCAGTTATAATGCCGCTTCTTTCATTTATAATTTTATTTATTTGAGTCTTCTTTTTTTTCTGGATTAGTCTGCCTAAAATTTTGTCAATGTGGTTTATCTTTCAAAAAGAGAAAAAAAACAAACCCCAACAATTAGTTTAATTAATTTTTCCCACTGTTTTTATATTGTTTACTATGTTCTATTTCATTTAGTTTTAGCCTAATCTTAATTATTTCCTTCCTTCTTCTACCTTTGTGCTTAGTTTATCCTTTGTTTTCTAATTCCTTGAGGTATAAATTTGGTTGCTTATTCAAGGTCTTTCCTTTTTCTTAATGTAGACATTTATTACTGCAAACTTTCCTCATAAAAGTGCTTTGGCTGCATCCCCTAAGTTTTGGTATATCTGTTTCTATTTGCATTTATTTCAAGATTTTCTAAATTTATCCCTTTTGATTTTCTTCGACCCATCTGTTATTCGTGTCTTAATTTCCACATATTTGTGTATTTTCCAATTTTCCTCCTTTATTGATTGCCAGTTTCATGCCACTGTGATCAGAAAAGGTACTTGATATGATTTTGATCTTCTTTAATTTTTAAGCCTTGTTTTGTGACCTAACATGTGAGCTATCCTAGAGAATATCCTCTGTGTACTTAAGAGTATTGGATTCTGTTACAGTTGGATGGGAAGTTCTATACATGCTTGTTAGGTTTCTGGTTGGACAGGGCTTCTTCTTATGCTCTGAAATCAAGGAGTGGGAGGAAACTCTAGTTGGTCTCCCAGTCAGATGGGCCTACTTGCTGGGCTCTGCATTCAAGCAGGGCTGCTGGCTGGGGTCCCTGGCCAGGTGGGGGTGCTGGGCTAGGCTACATGATCAAACAGAGCCACTAACTGCACTGGGCAATTACCTCTAGTTGGCTGAGGTCTCAAACTGTGTTCCCTGGCTTAGGCAGTGCTGCTATTTGGCCTCCATGATTAAGGGCTGCCAGCTGACCTCCACAATTGCACCCAATTGAGTGGGATCCCAAGCTGTGCTTCCCAGACAGATGTTGCTACTGGCCAACTTCCAAGCTCAGCTGGTTTCACAATCAGGCCTCAGGCTATGCTCTATGGTTGGGCGGGCTCGGAGTAGTGCTGCACTACTGAGGGAGGTACTGGCTAGGCTCCCTGGTCAGGTGGGGCCAGCAGCTGGACTTCACAGCTGGGTGGGGCTGGGAGCTGTGTTCTGTGATTAGGGAGCATCATGGCATGGACTTCACGGTTAGATAGGGCCTTAGGCTATGTTCTGTTTTTGGGAGGGATTATTGGCTGAGTTCCCTGCTTGAGTGAGGTTGCAGGCAGTGCTCAACAAATAGGTGGGAGCAGTCTGGGCTCCGCTTGCCAGACGGAGCTGTCAGCTGGGCTCTGCAGCTGTGAAGTACTGTGGGGTGTGCCCCAAGGCTGCCTGGGGTCACTATTCCGGCTCCCTAGTCACCTAGTCAGGTGTGGCCAGAGGCTACAGTTTTTATCTTCAATTATTATATTTTCTAGAAGTTCTCTTTGGTTGTTTTCAACTCCAGCTAATCATTTTTTATAATCTCTCATTCCTTAGTCATACTTTCAAAATGTGTGTGTGTATGTGTGTGTGTGTGTGTGTGTACCCACAATACATATACATCCCATACAAACATATGTACACACACATATACTTATTTTATACAATAATTCCCATATATGCAGTAGTTAGACGTCTGATTCCACTTTTTCCTGTTTCTTTTGACTCTATCGCTTATGTAGCTTTTTTTCCTTGTTTTGTTTTACAATTTCTGATTCTATGCTGGTGTTCCTTGGAACTTCATCTGCCTGTGGGAAGCCTTGAAGACTATTTGCATTTGTTTATATCATGCATCTCAGGCCACCACCAAACAGGATCATTCTAAGATTTAATTATCCACTGTGGTTTTCAAGTTGCTTGAGTAATGTGAATTCTACCTCTGAAGCGATATAAAGGCTATTTTGTGGGGGCAGCTGCCTGGCTCAGTAGGTAGAGCATATGACTCTTGATCTCGGGGTTATGAATTCAAGCCCTGTTGGGTGTAGAGCTTATTTTTTTTTAAATGAATGAATGAATGAATGAATGAATGATGAATAAATAAATAAATAAATAAATAAATAAATAAATTGCTGGATTGTTGTCCTGGATTTTCAAGGAATATCTTTTACGTCTTTACTTAGAGCCAAGATTTAGACAGGTGAGTTTTCCTAGGCTCTCTTTGTGGAATGGGCTTTTTCCCTAGCTCACCAACCAGGGTTTTACCTACTGGGTCTCCAATCGACCTTCTGCTCCAGGCTTTGCTGCCTCTTCCCTGTGAACTGCCTTTGTGTCTAGACTTCTAGACTTTAAATTTTGTAGGAAGAAAAATAAAGATGTTCATGTCTGCTGACTAGTAATATCTCCTAAGGAAGTAATTTACAGAGGAAAAAATACCAAGATGTTTATTTTTTTTCCTCTGTGATAGAAAGAAGAGTATTGAAGAGATTTTTCAGTACTTGGCAAGCTTGTAGGATCTATGAGAAGTGGTGACATAACGATTACATAAATACAGATAATTAGAGGAAAAGAAACATGCTTTCCATAAGAGAATTCCTGTTAACTCAGCAACCACCCTAAAACAGCATTAAATTATGGTACGATGAGATGTAAGAACCATGAGAATGATTAATTTAAAATTTCCACAAATCCCTAACACAGATCTGCACTGAAATCATCTTTAAAAAATATATTAAGTCAAATATATACATATATACACAAATGTATATGCATATGTATATATACACACTCATCCATACACATGTACACACACATACACATATATAGTGACTACTGGCTCTGCTTTGGCAGGAAAATGCAAAGCTCATAAAGATTCATGATAGGAAAAGATGCATGGTTTTGTGACTGAGCAGAAGGGCAGATGATGTGTTTTACTGTGGGCAAGTACAGTTTAAAGCATCACTATAACAAAATGGGAAAATATAACAATCATAGGGTGCCCACTGGATAGCTCACACTAGTGCATACCTCTCCCACCTACACTGCTGCAGCAATGCCCCCAACTGATGTTCCCACCTCTGCTTCAGCCCCTTGTGATCCATTTTCCAATTGTATCAAGTCCATTTAAAAATAATATACAAATCTTATTCTATCACCCCATATGCCTCAAACCCTCCAGTGGCTCCTCACTGAGCTAAGGCCAGAGACAGAAGCCCCGCACATGGTCTACAAGGCCCTGCTGCAAGTCCGCCTCCTCTCCGGCCCTCGTTTCCCCTCCATTTCTGTTCTAGCCACCTTGGCCATCTTGCAGCTTCTGGGATGCCACACTCCTCCATCCCAGATGTTCTTACCCAACTCTTTACCTAGGAAATTCCATTCATTCTTCAGCTCTTATGTCAAGCATTGCCTCCTGAGGAAGGAGGCCCTACATCCAGGCCTCACTCTCAGATTGCCACTATATTAGCTTCCTGTGGCTGTGGGGACAATTTACCCCCAAATTTGATGGCTTAAAACAACACATTTATTCTTGTTCTGGAGGTCAGACTTCTAAAATCAGTTTGATTGGACTAAAATAGAAGTGCGAGAAGAGGTGGTTCCTTCTGGAAGCTCTCTGGGACGAATCATTGCCTTGCTGTTTTCCATAGCTCATGGCCACCTGTGTTTCATGGCTTGTGTCCTCTTCCCTGCCTCATCTTCAAAGACATCACTCTTTTTTCTTCCTCCATCATCATATGCTCTTCTCTCATGACTCTGCCTGTCCTGCCTCCCTCTTGGAGACAATCCAGGGATTACATCGGATCTCCCTGGTAACCCAGAGTAATCTACCTATCTTAAAATTCCTAATCATGGGGCACCTGGGTGGCTCAGTGGATGAGCGTCTGCCTTCAGCTCAAGTCGTGATCCTGGGATCCAGTCCCACATTGGGCTCTCTGCATGGAGCCTGCTTCTCCCTCTGCCTATGTCTCTGCCTCTCTCTCTCTCTCTCTCCTCTCTCTCTCTGTCTCTCATGAATAAATAAATAAAATCTTTTAAAAAATCCTTAATCACATCTGCAAAGTGCCTTTTTGCCATCTAAGGTAATATATTCACAGAGACTAGGATGTGGTGATATTTGGGGGACTATTATTCAGCCTACCACAACCATGTACCTTTCCTTCAAAGCAATAATCACCATTAGCAGTAATATAGCTGACACTCGAGTCCGTATTTGATTAATGCTCATCAACTCCCTAGACTATAAACTTCACAAGGATAGGAAAAGAGCCTGTTTTTCTTAATTTCCGGATCCTCAGCACTCAACATATATTTACTGAATGAATAGATAATTATCTAACAACTAAAAACAATAATAAGGAGAATGTAAAGTGGCAATAGGCAACAAGGAAATTTTTTCCTCTTAACTTCCATTATTGTTTTCACTTTGTTTTGTTCAATAAATAAAAATGAAGAGGCAGAAAGCTGTACTACTGAATAGGCTTCTCCAGAACTTTAACCAAAAAAAGAAGTTTGTAAGTTGACTACTTACTTCGTATCCAAAAGCTGAAGCTGGTGGTTACTGTCTCTGTGGGACATCTTCAGTTTGGTGCTTTGCTCTGATATTGACAAGTCCACTCTGTTCAAAAGCTGAGAAATCTGTGAAAGAAGCTTTGCTTGTAATATCACATCTCATTTTCTCAGAGGTAATCTCAGATAACATTTAGTAAGCTATATTCTAGTTCATGACATTAAGGTTCGATATAATTTAATCAATTCATTTAGGAGCTTACTTTGTCTTTCCACTTCCATTTCCTATCATACACTCTCATCAAAAATCAGGACCAGGAGCACTGCTAAAATATTCATTACACTCTGAGTACTTAACTTTATAGTTCTCTGCTGAGCAAGCCTACTTCCTGCCCGGGACCACTATGTCCACCTACTGGCACAAGATACAGTTTGTTTGGTATTTTTTACCTTGGAATTTCTACCACAAATGTGCCGGCTAGTCACAGAGAATGGAACCCTCATCATTTACAAATACCATTAAGGTCCCAGATATACCTCCCTATCAAGTTGAGTCACCAGAAAATAGAATTTGTAAATTATATCCCTCCTACTCCTTTTTTTCACTATCTACCCCCTTGCCTTATCTTTCTACTAAAATTTAATATATAACTAGTCCTATATGAAATGTGTTTACTTGTGGCAAAAGTTATGATGTTCAATGTTCCTTATATAGAAACTCATGGGGACGCCTGGGTAGCTCAGTGGTTGGGTGCCTGCCTGGATCGTGATCCCAGGATCCGGGATTGAGTCCCACATGAGGCTCCCTGCGAGGAGTTTACTTCTCCCTCTGCCTATGTCCCTGCCTCTCTCTCTCAGTCTGTGTCTCTCATGAATAAATAAATAAATCTTAAAAAAATACAAAACAAAGAAATTCATGGAACAAGTATCTATTAGATCCAGAACAAAGAAAAAGTATGTCTTTTTTTATAGATTTCTATATGTATTTTACTTGGTGTGGCTACTGGGAAGCTTAATATTTCCTAAGCATTTATTTTCTGATGTGATCATTCTATCCTCATTCTTTGAAAAAAAATTACTAGACTTGTTGTTTTGTTGTTTTCTTTTTCATGGCTTTATAGTATCTGTGTTTTTCACGTAAGTAGATTTAGATTTTTATTGAATCTATTTTGGACACAAGTACTTTTAATCCAATAGATTGACCAGATGCCCCATTTTACTGGAATGGTCTCTCTTTACATGAATAATGGCAAGTAGGGCAGATACTGTGGGGCAAATCTTAGAAGTCAGGCCCCTTTATGGCAAAGGGAAACTTTAAAGTGACCAAAAGCAAACTGTGAAATGCCAAAAGTTTTGCTTTATGAAATTGATCTGTGAATTTCAAGGTGGAATACTCTGAAATTCACCAGCCAGCCTACCTTCTAGCTTTGTCTGAGTTCTTTCCCACAACAGACTGTGATGAAGTAGCACGAGGTCCAGTACAGTGACTATTTTCTGAACCAAAAATTGGGACAAGGAGCATATAAAAGAAAAGTCTGATCATTTACCCTATGCCAGGAGTAGTTTTGGAGCTATAATTTAGAATTTCTGAAATATATTAATTGTTTTAGGAATGAGGGAAAAGAATCTTTAAAATTAGGACTGTGGGCAGCCCAGATAGCTCAGTGGTTTAGCTGCCTTTAGCCCAGGGCGTGATCCTGGAGACCCGGGATCAAGTCCCACATCGGGCTCCCTGCATGGAGCCCGCTTCTCCCTCTGCCTGTATCTCTGCCTCTCTCTTTCTCTCTCTCTCTCTCTCTCTCTCTGTCTCTCATTAATAAGCAAGTAAAAAAAATCTAAAAAAAATAAAATTAGGATTGTACCAAAAATCTTGGTGCTTTGCTTGCCATACTCTTGTAGGGCCACTGCAGGGAAACAGAGGAAAGGAAGAAGCAAGGAAAAGAATGGCACATACTGGGTGCCCACGCTGGTTTCTCCAAACCACGTTATTCTTAGCTAACACAAATTACCTACTTTAAAAAGGCTACCTGAAATAGGCCATACCTGTCCCTCTGCGTCTTTGATTTTCGTCTCCAAGATAAGTTTGGCCGCCTGCTGTTCTTTGTTCAAGTGCTGGAGCCCTTCGTAAGTTGTTTTGTGCTCTGCAGAGAGTCTGGCTATGCTGGCATCACATCTGAAAATAACAAAGCTAACTCTTATTAAAGTTTAAAAACAAGCACTGAGGCCTCTTGACATACTGTAAAATGCATGACCCCACTCAACAAAACTGTACTATGACGACTGATTATTTTACACGAAGTTCAAATGAATACAGAGAGCTACCCTCATTATGGTTTTTAAGTTAAACCACAGGGGTGTTGCTTAATAAGAGTAGGAATGTGACCATCAAAGTAGGAAAGGCTCTGCGAAGCCTTTCATAAGTACAAAACTGAACGTGCAGTGAGAGCCCAATGACGAGAGGCTTACATGATGTGCTGGATGTGGCCTGTCACTCTTTGGTACCACCTCCATCCTTTCAAGTGCTTTGGGTCTTCTTTGGATCTCAGAGGCAACTTCTACCACATTTCAAAGAACTGCTCCAAACCTTTTACTGCATTGCCTATGAGGTTGTATGCTTTGAGTGGGGTCCAGAACAGGAGAAGGCTGTGCAGGTTGTCTAAGCTGCAGTGAGGCTGCTCTGCTCCTTGGGCCTTAAAACTTGGCAGTTCCAATGGTGCTCTAAGTATCTGTGGCTGTGTGGGAGATTTCTGTCAAACCCTAATAGGTGAGTCACAGAATAGTCCCCTAGGAATATGGAGCAACGTCATGTCCCATTTCAACCCAAACATTCTGCTCTGAGAAGTAGCTATTGGCTTGCTACTGGGTTCTGGTAGAAACTACAGCCTAAGCATGGGACATTCGGTAACCATACAATCTGGCGAATATATCATGAGCACCAAGCTATTAAGGCGGCATATGAGCAGCATGCCATCTTCAAGAGGGAGGGATACATAGATGGCAGGCTTAAATAGGTCCCAAAGGCATAAGTAAATTGCATGAGCCCAGACTCCCATGGTACATACTCTTGCTACTGTCAACCTTCCTTCAACTCATACATATGGGCTCCTGAGGAGTTCCTGATGACCAGGTGGACTGAAGGAGGAAGAATCAGGCCTGGTTTACAGAAGGTACTGATATCCTGACCCCTTCCAGAAGAAGACTTAAAAGCCCACTCAAGAGTGGCCCTCAAGGGTATCAAGGAAGGGAAACCCTCAGTTGGCAGAAGTTCAAACAATGCATCTGAGGATTTGTTTTGCCTAGAATAAAAAATGGCTGGGTACTCGTGGCCGTTGGCTAATGCAAGAGACATAGAAGAAAGATATTGGAGGATTGACGAAAAGGGGAAAGGTTTATAAAATGGCTCGCTCATAATTGTCAGCAGAGCATTTTTGTTTCTTGCGAATGCTCTCGGTATCAAAGGGGTAGAAGCCTGAAAACTACTTCCCAGACAACCTTGTCAGCTGGGTTCGGATTTATATCCCACCAATGAGAGGCACTTATCTAGAGAGGTGGAGAATCCCTTATGTTCCCCTGGCAGGGACGAGCAGACAAGTGGTAAACTTGCACAAGTGAGGTTTATAGCCACCTCCAGATACGCTCCTGGAAATCACTTACTTCCATGTTACACGCAGCTAATATCGTCAATGGCTCCTTTCTGTGACTCTTCTACGTCCAACTGTCCTGGGAGCCACTAAAAGTTTCCTTCCCTTTGCTTCCTTAAATCTGCCAATGGTTTTGTAAACTCTAATTTCCTAGACTAAACCCCTTCCTGTTAAAATACTTAGAGTGGTTTCTGTTTTCTCGACTGAATCTTGATGCATATATAGTTATTAAAATTTTACAAGGAAGCGAATAAAATATTAACCAACTATCTCTAGATAATGTGTGATTTTTTAAATTCTTCATTCTTTTATAAATTGTACAACTTTTCTGCAATATGTATATATAATGTTCTGATCAGAAAAACAATCATACGAAGAAAATATTTCAATCAACAGCCGTGTATAAAGAATGCATGACAACTTCATTGAATATGCACCATCATACCATCTTTCCCTGGGCTCCTCATGAAGCAGAAATGAGGCTGGAGCAGAAGAAACCCAGAGCTGGAGAAATGTGGGTAGAGTCACTGTCATGAAAGTGAGGCCAGGGTCAAGGTAATATACAGCAGAAGTAGAGAGGCTGGAGTTGGAACCCCACATCATAATTCAGGCATTCAGTCAATCAGTATTTGTAGAATGACTACTATGTGTCACACACTAGTTACACAAAATGAGGGCATAGTGGGAACATTTTTTTTTTCTTCAAGACACATACCACATAATCTAGAAATTAAAAAAAAAAATTCTCATGCCACTACTGTAATACTGTTATTCAGATTACATGTGTATTTTTTCTATTGTTGATGGAGATGTAACATTTTGTTTTTGTTCATTATCCCCCCCCCAACTCAGACAAAGAAGCTCAGAAGACTGGGAACTTGCTGAACAAGTCATTATAAATGCACTTGAAGAACAAGATTGAAGAAATACAGGTTGAAGAACAAGCCTGTGACCGCTCATGGTTTCAGTAAGTCAGCAATCTATGATCTTTCTAAAAGCACTGGGAATGTGTTCTTTAAGATGTATATCTGCACTGGGGCCTCAAAAAGGTTCTCTAAATGACTAAGCATACTGAAAAGGATCTTACTCACTAAAACATATCAAGTATTTGCAACCAACTATCAAAAACAGCATATTAATTGATAAAGGTTAAAGTATAAATCCTCTAGAAGTTTGAAAAAATGAAATATTGATCGATAGTTTATAAGCCATGAATAAAAATGAGAGGGCATGCCAGTGCTTGGTAGGTTTTCTAATAAGGTAGAAGACTTAACCAATTTACTAATTATTTTGTACTAAAATGCTGTGAATTAAAACTACTACCTGCTTGGGGATTCCTGGGTGGCTCAGCAGTTTGGTGCCTGCCTTTGGCCCAGGGCATGATCCTGGAGTCCCAGGATCGAGTCCCACATCAGGCTTCCCGCAGGGAGCCTGCTTCTCCCTCTGCCTGTGTCTCTGCCTCTCTCTGTGTGTCTCTCACGAATAAATAAAATCTTAAAAAAAAAAAAAACCTACTACCTGCTCATGTCAGTTGAACATGGTGGACTCAACACATGCCCTCATTTTGGCTCCCTTCTGAAAACCTTCAAGATGACTCCAGATGAATAAAAAAGGTATAAATCCAAAAGGACAAAAAAGAATGAGGGGAAAAAAAAGTTTGGGAGAAAGTAGAAAACAGACAGATGGTGCAGAAGATGGAGCAAAGCATATGTTTTGCTACAGCTGGTGCTATAAGCTTGAAGGACTCTATATCTGAAAACCAACAGAAGTAAGAAGAAGTTTTAGTTTCCACGGGGCAAGATGGGTGAAAACCTGCTCCACTTGTGACAGAACACAGGAACCAGGGTAACAAAACCAGAGACCTGAATGGGGCTACACCATCTATAGAGAGCTCAAAGAAAACCAAAACCAAAACCAAAACCAAAACCAAAACCAAAACCAAATGAAAAACCTGGATCTACAGAGTTTAAAAGAAATATGTTTAAGATGCCAAAAAAATCAAAGACAGATTAATATATATCAAGAGTTATTAAACAAAAATAGGCAGAGAGGAAAGAACAGGTGGACAAAAGAAAAATGAGAAATCCTAGAAGTAAACCACAGCATCTTCACAAACTTGGCTAACTCTAGACCGGACATGACTGAAGACAGAGTCAGTGAGTTAGAAGACAGCAGCAAAGAGCTCACTTGAAAGGCAGCAAAGACAGAGATTCAAAACATGGAAAAATAGCTAGGAGACAAGAGGATGCTAACATAAGTGAAAGAGGAGTTGAGAAGACCCCAAAGACGGAAACGGAGAGAATGGCCTCTCTTAGGCATGAGTGCTGCCAGTTTTCTAAAATTGAAGAAAAACATGAGTTTTTGAGTGTTCGGCAACTACAAAGTGGAATAAGTAAAAAGTAAAGAGAAAATAGGGTATGGTGATAACAAATGATATAGATAACATTTTAAAAAGTACCAGAGACCAAAGACAGGTAACCTACCTACTGTAAGACTGACAGCCCACAGTAGGTGTCAGAAGATATCATAATGGTGGAAGTGGAAAAACACCTTCTTAGGATGGAGGAAAAATAACATCTCATCTAAGAATAAATGCAAAATAAAGACAGAGATAGTTTTAGACATGCAAACATTAAGAAATGTATCACCTACAAACCCCATACTAAAAGAGTCACTAGATCATGTACTTCAGTAAAAAGAAAACAGTACCCAGGGACACCCTGCTGGCTCAACTGGTAGAGCATGCAACTCTGGATCTTCAGCCTGTAAATTCGAGCCCCACATTGGCTGTAGAGATTACTCAAAAATAAAATCTTAAAAAAAAAAAAAGAGCCCCCAGCGAAAGGAGTAGGATGCAAGAAACAATGGTGAACAAACTGAGATCATTGGTAAGTTTAATGTTTTGGAGACTGAATATAGTAAGTTACCAGCTCAATTATTCCAACCTTAAAAATCTTTTTAGTCCTGACATTTACCTTAAACTGAACAACCTAACTCAGTCATTTTGTTAAAATGCTATAATCCTTATTGGAAGTAACAGGAAAAAAAATTAATGGGACAGATATTTTGGTAAATATTGACTTAAATGCCTAAAATTTTTAAAAAAGATTTTAAACAACCTGACAAAACTGCATATATGCATTTAAATTTTTTTCAGTATTCATAGACTCAATGTATACAATTAAGCAATAGTTATGCTATTCTTCTGTATTGGAATTCTTTTTTTTTTTAAGATTTGTTAATATATCTGAGAAAAAGAGAGAGAAAATCTCAAGCAGACCACCTACTGAGCACAGAGCCTGATGTGGGGCTCAGTCCCACACCCCTGGATCACAACCTGAGCCAAAATCAAGAGTTGAACAGTTAACTGACTGAGCCACCCAGGCACCCCAGAAATCTTTTTTTAATATGAATGCCCAGTGTTGGAGAAAGTTTGTAGATTCAAGCTACATCGCACACTACTGTTGGAAAAATAAATTTTACAATCTTTCTAGAGGGTAACTTGGCAGGATATACCCCAAATCTTGAAACA